CCCTGAAGCCTGTTTCTTGCCTTTCTTTCCCCCTCCCTCTCCTGGGGACAGGATGCTGCTCTGTGTGTGGCCAACAAAGAGACATCATCGAAACCGCCACCTTCCGGTAAACAGTAGAAAGCCCCTCAGAGACATCCAAATAACAAATGTAAGACACAACTTCAAGTTCTCTTCGAGAAATAATGACTTAAAATAATGCTTAAGAGCAGCACCATTAATTTTCGGCAAGGCCTTATTTGGTAAGGATGGTTCCCCAAAAAAGAATTTAAAAAAGGCTGACTGAAGGCAGACTCTGTGTATGGGTGCTACTTCGGGGTCTCACAGGCAGAGTATTATCATACATGAGCAGTAACGATATAGAGGTTTGTGAGGGTACGGTATGTGAGCCGTAGCCTCACATACCCATAGGAACATGATTTGATTACTCAAGCTCTTTCAGCTTCACTGCTGTTCCCGAGGGCAAAAGGTCTATTTCCACTTGTCAAGTGAACCCATGAATGGCTACATTTCAAAGGGGTGGCCGCTCTCTCAGTTCTTTGAAAGTACCTTAAGAAACCTGTTGGAAAAGTATGAATGTTTGGACACTGATTCTTAGGAGAAGTTTTGGGACCACCTTCTTGCAGTTACTTTATGGGACCTTCATGGCATAGCTGCCAGAATTACATCTGTTTATCAGCATCAATGTGAAAAATGCGCAGTTCAACAACTTGGTAAAGGACCTGAGAGACCACATTTTCGAAGATACTTTTCTTCATCAATAATTAATGGGCCATTTTGCAAGTCCCATGAAAATAAAGCAAGAGCCTGAGATATCTTCTAAAAGCCTTCTAAATATGACATGGCTTTAACTCTTATGTGAATAATTAGATCACCTGAAGCAAGGCCACATAACTTGTTCTGCTAATCCCGTGTCATTCTGAGGGACCCCAATAGATCATGGCCAAGCCTGTCCCTACAGAATCTGCCTCTAGCTACATGCAGCTACTGAGTGCTTGAAATGTGCCTAGTCCACGGGCACCTGGTGGCTCAGTCAGTTAAGCTTTTAACTATTGATCTCAGCTCACGTCTTGATTTCAGGGTCATGAGTTCAAGCCCCACATTGGGCTCCATGCTGGGCGTGGAGCCTACTTTAAAAAAAAAAATGTGACTAGTCCAAACTGAGATGTGCCAAAGAGCAAATGACGTGCTGAGATTTGAAGGCTTAGTTCAAAAATAAAAATGTAAAATACTTCATTAACAATTTTTATATTGATAATATGTTGAAATGATATTTTAGGTATATTGAATTAAATAAAATATAATTAATTTCATCATTTCTTTTTACTTTTTCTAAATGTGGCTGCTGGAATGTTTATAATATCTATAATTATCATATTTCTATTGGACAGCACTGCTCTAGACCCATGAATCGCAGGAGGAAAATGGATATAACCCTTTGCAGAATGAGCAAAGGTTTATCTGTAGACTTTATAAAATGAGTATGACCCATGCATCGCAGGAGGAAAATGGATATAACCCTTTGCAGAATGAGCAAAGGTTTACCTGTAGACTTTATAAAATGAGTATTTCCCGCGTTCTGCTGACCTTGTCGTTAACATTTGGCATTCTTATCATAAAACTGCCCTTCAATCTTACACAGAGATGCAGTCTCATTAATTTTAGGCTTTTTCTTGAGCCAAATTATATATTAAATGTATTTCAGTCAAGAAGTGCCTTTGAAAAGCTTCATCCTGAACATCCCCCATAATCAAGACTTACAGTCTTCTAATTTGTTGCCAATGATAAAATCTTACTTTGAAAACCACAATGTGTTCATTGGAATACTGACTTTGTTGGAACACACGAAATATGTGTATCTAGCTATCCCACAAGTACACCCAATGTCCAAACTCGCTAAAGCCCACGAGAGAACAGTGAGAGAAATTATGACAAGAAAGGATCAGGCCTTCCTGACAGATTGTCAGGAAGAGAGTTCCTTTATTTATTCATTAAGTAGCATTTATGAAATGCTCACTCCCCAAAAAGTATAGTTCTCTTTGTGATTTTCTTCTCTTGGTCTTTATGATAGAATAGATACATCAATCTCAGAAAGGAAGTAATATGACAGAAAACTTTTCAAATGTTCGCCAACTGCCTCCTGCCTCCCATTATTACTCAGGTTGTTGTTGTTATTGTTGTTTATTCAGGTGAGGATATGACTACATTCTTAACAGAGTTTTTTGGTTGGCCGGTTGGCTGGTTTGCAAGAATGAGACTGTACTGTCTCAGGTTTTTCAACAGCTTTTCCAACTACCCCTCAACATCAACATTAAATTTTTTAAAATAAAGGGGGTGCCTGGGTGGCTCAGTCGTTAAGCACCTGCCTTCGGCTCAGGTCATGATCCCAGGGTCCTGGGATCGAGCCCCGCATCAGGCTCCCTGCTTGGCCGGGAGCCTGCTTCTCCCTCTCCCACTCCCCCTGCTTGTGTTCCCTCTCTAGCTGTGTCTCTCTCTCTCTGTCAAATTAATAAAATAAAATCTTTTTTAAAATAAATAAATAAATAAATAAATAAATAAAGGGGCGCCTGGGTGGCTCAGTTGTTAAGCGTCTGCCTTTGCCTCAGGTCATGATCCCAGGGTCCTGGGATCGAGCCCTGCATCTGGCTCCCTGCTCCGAGGGAAGCCTGCTTCTCCCTCTCCCACTCCCCCTGCTTGTGTTCCCTCTCTCGCTGTGTCTCTCTCTGTCAAATAAATAAATAAAATCTTTAAAATAAAATAAAGTTAAAAAAAAAAGATGAAGGAATAAGTAAAATGTCAACTAATCTTTTCTCTTTATTAATGGTATTTGTTCCTTCCTCCTCCTCTTGAGTCCCCACCCCAATATCTCCTTTAATGGAAATGGTGTTAGCATTTTGCCATATGATTTTCTCCATGTTCATATACATGGAACATGAAACTTATCTAATTTGGAAGCCTACTTTAAGAAAAGAATACAAAATTATGAAGACAAAATTAGATATAGGACCTTAAAAAGGTGCCCATGAAAGTGGGAGGGGGTCTCTAAAATTTAAGCTTTATTAGCTTCACAGGAAATCAGTTCTGCTCATATAATACAGATATACATATATGAGTGAAATAGGATCTCATTATTGTTAAGTAAAGGAGGGGATTATATTATGAGCACGTGTCTGTATCTTTTCTTCTAAACGACATATTATGGAAATCATTCCAAGACAAGTGGTATAGCTCAAATTCACCTTTTCACATAAGCACATAACATTCCATGCACGTGTGTTCTATAGGTTATTCAACCTTCCCTTACGAGTGCACAGTCTCTGTTTCTAATTGGGGTGGGGGCGGAGTTTGAGGGGGTGGATTCTTTTGCCACTACTAAAAATGCCACGTTGAACAACGTTTTTATGGTTTAAAAAAAAAAAGGAATACTCAAGATTTTTAATTGTACTAAATTTATTAATTTGAGGAGAAATAGCAGTTTTATGATGTTAAACCTTTCTATCCAAGTACTCAGTATAAATTTTTTCACTTAGTCATGTCCTGTCCACAAGGAATTTTCAATCCAGTAAGAAAAATAAAACCAAGATACAGGAAACATGGAAAGTACAAATTGTAACACATGAAATTGAAGGGAGAAAATACTCAAGAGAGTAATGATCTGTGTAGATGTGACCTACACAAAATGGAGGAGGGGAAACGTTAAAGGGGACAGGTATCTGGCAGAAAGGAAGCTCAGCCAGGACATGGGGACACTCAGGAAGCAGTGAACACAGAGTTCAGTGGGGCTGGCATGCAGAGGGTGCATGGTAAGCAAACAGAAGACAAGGCTAGCAAGGTGCGCTAGAGCCCATCCACGCTAAGAATGCCAGGACAGAGGAGTTTATCCCCATTTCTGCAGTGCAATGCAGTTTGGGGCCAAGAATGATGAGAGTTCTGTTCTAAGATCACTCTGTCACGTAGGTGAAAGACAGACCAACAGGGAAGAAGGGCCAGCGCTCGTTAGAGAGTGCTTCTAATAGTCCACAAGAGAGGACACGACACCTGAGCCAGAGGGAAGGAAGTGAGAACAGAAAGGACAGGAAAGATGAAACACAGCCCAAGAATTCAAATACTGGTTAGATTAGGGAGGGAAAGAGAAGCATTTCTGTTCTTGAGCCTGGGTAAACTGCAGGATAGTGGTGCCATTAACACAGATGAATGAAGCAGAGGACCGTGTTTGAGTGAAAGATCGTCAGTTTCTTTTCAGACATGTTAAGTTTAACATGTAAGCAGGATATCCAAACAGACATCCTGAACTAGAGGCCAAAGGGGGAGGGCTGCCCTCTCTTACTAAGGGTAGTGATAGATTTCACAAGTCCTCTGGAGAACCCCAACAGATGAGCTCACTTTCATAGAATGTTGGGCCTAGTCACTTTCTACAAGCTTCTCATCTTCCAGAAAAGCTAACTGCTTCTTCAGTGTCTTCTTATACCACAACCTAGCTGGGGCAGCCCTTCCCTAAACTCTAAACAGGCAAGACATTATTCGAAAGCTTCATGATGCTATGGGGAAAAAATTCAGCCAACTCTTACAACTAGATAAATTCAGCCATATTTCAAAATAAAATTTATGCAGTCAAAAATATTACAAGGCACAAGTCCAGTTTTGTTTTAAACAGAACCTGAATTTTTAAAATAACAGAAACTCAGTTTCACTATCAAACTGTACTTCGAAATTATTTTTCTTATAAACTAAATGTGCAAAGTAACTGTTGACAGAGGTTTGGTGAAAGAACATTATAGATATGACATTTTCCCAAACTAAAATTTTGGTGATTCCTGGTTCAAAGGCAATAACCAAAGCTGAAAGGACAAAACTGACAACTACAGAAAACTCCAGAATGTTTTTATTTTAGCAGCCACTCAATTTGCTATACCTGAGTGTTGGGGGGGGCAGAGGGGAGAATGGGGGGCAGGGGATTTTAATTAACATGAATTATATCTTGTAAAAAATTAAAATGTACAAACCTCATAATGTTCATATTCATCCACATCAAATGTCTCAAAGTCAAAAAATCCATGTTGTAATCCCTAGAAGCAGAATTTGAATTAGTTTTTCCACACCAAATTGATAAGTCCTCTAGCCATTCCTAGAATTCCTGCTCACAAATGATTCTCACTAACCTGAAGGAAAAAGCTTGAAACCTTTCATTCATAATGCATATCTAGATATCATCTTCTAACATTGGTAATTTTGCATTGAGACTTTCTCACAAGTGGGACTTAACATTTAGAAAAGCATGAAAATATGTTCCACAAAATATATCTAGAGTCCTAATTTACATTAGTTTTATATGTAATAAATTAATTATATATATAATGGAACATACTAGCAAATGTAGAATTAAAACCTATTGGGAACTATGCAATTAATTCATATCAAACTATGATAGGATTTATAATAGTGATTAACTTTTCAGATAGGAGAAGAATATTCTTGGGAGGTTTTGTTTTCCTTTTATCATTAATGAGATACTTAGCAAAAAGGGCATTTCTACTTCCTAGGCCCTTATTTGTTCCTAAAACTCTTTGAGAGCGTTTGTTTTCTGGTCATAGTTACTGAAAGAGTAAAAGTGTACTTGACTGCTCTTACGATTTAGAGGAAGAGCTGATATTTTTAACAACAAAAAGAGAACATTCATTATTCCTTTTTATAACTAATGACTTAGAACTTTTAAAAACTATCCAGCTTGCTCAGATATAATATTTTGAAGAGGACTGTCTTTTATTTTATAAGTCATGAAGCTGTACAGATTATAATAGAATACAAAACCACTGTTACTTTTAAAAGTTACATATTCAAGTCATTAAAAATAGAAGAAACTATGAAGCCAAGCTCCAGTACAGTTCTTCAAAACAGTTTCTTCAAAACAGAGACCAATGTTTTCTAAAATGCAGAACACAGATCACCTGCAACAGAAGCACTTGCAGTAATTTAGATTTAAAATACAGTCCTAAACCCCTAAATCCCAGAACTATTAAATGTGATTCTCTGGGGGTAGATCAGCATGTTAACATGCCTTCTAGGTGATTCTTATAAATGATAAATCCTGACAACACTGGGTTAGTCAACCCCTACTATTAGAAGCAAAGCAAGTTATTTAAATTATCCTACCTTTAAACAAAGCAACTTAAGTGGATCCATATGCACCATTCCAGTGAAAGAAGTGAGAAAAATATACCCGGGCCTTCAAACTTCCTTCCTTTCTCTTCATTTAAAGTGTGTATTTATGTATGTTTCTGTGTGTAGTTCACACCCATGTAAACTATGCTTATGATGATGCCAACACAACAAAATCAGAAAGATATGCTTCCTAAAGAGGCAAAAATGCAGCCATACTCTGTCTACACTCTTAGGAGTCTGGTACTCATTGCCATGGCAATTGCCCAGAATATGGGGTTTATTTAAGGTGGAGTGAGGTAATGTGTCTCAGTTGCTTAAAGACATGTTGAACATCTGTCAGATCTTCTAAAATCTCATCTGTGTTTGGGAAAAATAAACCCCAGCATTTGATGAAACAAGAAATTTACAGAAGACCTTATCCATGAACAAAGTCACACCTTTCCTCTCTAACAGGAAGGATGTCATAAATTTCTATATCCAGTTACCAAGCTACCATAACAGGCGGGGATATTCCAGTGTGAACTCTTCCTGAACTTCATACATTTATAAAAGAAATAGCCTGTACCAGATGGCAGAATAGGCAAAACAGTAACAACAACAACAATAACAATAATAAATTACTTGTTTTTTCCCCTTGGGCATACTTCTTAAATGCTGTAATTGTGGATTATATATTGACTAATATCTCCATAAGGGTTCTTAACTTGTGATACTAGAAGTCTGGGTTGGTGACATTACTTGCAGGGTGAGCTAGAGTATTTTGACAGTCTTTAAGTGGAAAGAAAAATATTTGAAACTATTTTAAACTTTTACAGAGTTTAAATTCATTTTAAATGAAATATCAAAGTCAAAAACATACATAAAACTAGCATACTTATCATACCAATTTTCTCAACTCAAAATCAGTCTTATATTACATCAGATTTCAAAAGAAACTAGAACAAGAATCATGCTCATAGTGTATCTATAATCCATAAGGACACTTGCCTATGGGCTATGCAATATGTACATTCCTGACTGATAAATCATGGCTATATGTTCAAGATGGAATGATGTACTTTGAACCTTCATTAGAATTTCACAATATAGGGGCACCTGGGTGGCTCAGTCGGTTAAGCGTCTGCCTTCGGCTCAGGTCATGATCTCCAGGGTCCTGGGATCGAGCCCCACGTGGGGCTCCCTACTCAGCAGAGAGTCTGCTTCTCCCTCTGACCCTCCCCCTGCTCATGCTCTCTCTCTCTCTCAAATAAATAAAATAAAATCTTTTTAAAAATTAAAAAAAAAAACTTCACAGTATAGCATGCATGACTTTTCAGTAAATCAATGCTTCAAGAACAAGTTCTAAAAGTTCTCAAAAATATTTTAGATTCACTTCTCCATTATACATATGAGTAACTTAAATAACTATGCCTCCAAACTGTAAAGTGCATCAAATCACCCAGAAGGGCTGTTCAAACACAGACTGCACGGCCCCACTCCCATAATTTATGGTTCCGTCAGTCTCGGAGAAGGACTGAGAATTTGCATCTCTAGCGAGCCCCACACTTTGACAAACCATTGATTTATAAGACACCCTGATAGGATATTAGAAAGCTCCAAATTGATAAGGAAATGTGAGTTAGAATGAGCCCTGCTAATAACTCCCTGTGGCCCTAAGAGTGACTTAACCTCCCTGGGGTTGTTTCCTCAGCTAAAACAATGAGATAATAGTATCTGGCCCACTTACTTCTTTACCGGCATGTAATAATATCCAGGTAGGAAACCTACATGGAAATGTTCTCCTCTACATGAACAGAGGTGCAGAGTGGCTTCCTATCTCTCCCACACCAAGCTCGAGCTTGATAAGGAAGCTGAGCTGGTGACAAAGCAATGTCACAAGCACAGAGGCAGATAGAAGCAATACGTCTGCCCAGGAAGAGGAATCATTTAAATGAGAAAGGGAAACCCCTTCTACTTCAATAAGGAGCTAGAGAGTTACCCCCGGGGCACCCCTCAATTTGCTCGACAGGCTATATTTTACAGATCAATCATTCCATCAAGAAGTGGAAAGCCTTCTGCTAACTGCCTGCCTTCTCTTCTCTCCAAAGCAAACAAGGATATTGACATTATTCCTTTTTCATATTTTGAAACTTCTGTGCCAACTATAGCAAGGAGAATTATTATTACCTTTCTGATTCCCTGCAAACAGTCGAGGATGGTGAGATTGTAAGTGCAATTTCCAAAGGAAGCATCCCTATAAACACACACAAAAAAAATGCTAAAAATGCACATTCAGAATATTCAAATAATAAAATACCAAAGTCAACTGAAGACTGCTTGTATGGCTTCACAGCTGTCAATGTGGTAAATTAATGTAACACATCAGATCCTACTAGCTAACTACTCTTACAGCTTCAATGAAGCATTTCTGAAATTGCTTTAATCCAATAGGCAGAATTAGGAAGAAAAGCAGATCTAAGAGCCTGAGCTCTGAAGTCAGATCGCCTTTGTTCAAATTCCAACTCTGCCACATACTGGCTGGAGCCTTGAGCAAGTTATTTTACTTCTGCTGCTTGGTTTCCCATCTCTGAAACGATGTTACTGATGGTATCTACCATTCTTAGGATTGTTGTCAGATTGCATTTAATAAATGTAAAGTCCTTCATATAAGAGCCTAGCATATAGGAAGCACCTAATAAATATTATGACTCTTCTTTATATTATTAACAGTGAACTGGACTGTTTCATTAAGTAAAAGATTCACAATCAGTAAAAGATTCACAATCACTAAAGGTATTCTGACAGAGGAACAACCACCTATCAGGAATATGGTAAATACAAGCATAAAAATGTAAGGAGGACAATGTGGGCAGGTCAACAGAAGCTAGCTGTTATTTTCTTGGATTAAATGCCACCTCTCCCACCAACCCCCCCCCAAAAAAAAACTATGGAAAACTCAGTCACGCTTCCAAACAATCTCCTCTCAGGATCAATGGGAGCTTCTAATGCACCATGAAGTGTTGTATCAAAAGGAATGGGAATCTACTGCACTGAAATTTGAGTACTTCATACTTTATTCAAGTTTTTAGAGCAACTTAGCAGACTTGCTTTAGGCAACATAAAACTGAAGTATCAAGTTCAGGTCAGTTAAGCAAGAACTGGCACTGGAGCTTTAACACTAGCAATGTTCCAAGGTGTCCAAGGCAAGAAACTTGACCTCAAGGCTCTGTCTCTCTGCCCAGCCCCCATTGCTGACCCAAAGGAACAGAGCTGTCAGGCACCTGCCAATGACAAAGTCAAATGCACCACACAAAGGCGGTCCAAGGGCGGCAGTGGGGAAGGTGCCAGATGATGATGTTCCTTGGAGAGAAAATGACCTTGAAGGGCATTAACATATAATTAACATAAAACTGAGTTTTATATCACAACCATCCAAGGTAACTTGAACCTATGGCTGCTAAGCCGTGAATTAAAATGGAGCTTCAACATCACTGGGTTTCAGCATCCTGACAACCTCATACAAAAACAGTAAGTTAGAAAAGCGACTTAACAGAAATGCTTAAGTCCTGAAACTTCAAAGTTAACCTATGTAAATAAGAAGGGTTATTCTTGATAAGTAAGTTTGATTTCAAGACTTCTTTTTTTAATGCCCTCTGAACTCATGGGTCACTGGAAACCAAAATAGACCCTTTTCCAATACCTTGTAAAGACGTAAACCATATGTTAAAAAGCAAATTTTAATGGACTAAACCAGAGAAAGGTGTAGCTGGGGATCCAAGATAAAATAGTAGTTTATATAAATAATCACATATTCCTTTATAGGCACTTGTCTCTTTGGGACAAGGGTTCAGAATCTTTTGTGTGTCATGAACCCCTTAGCAATCTGATGAAGCCTGTGAACCTCTTTTTTCAGATAGTGTTTTTAAATGCATAAAATAAAATATAAATGAATAACAGAAGGCTAATTCAGTCAAATTATCAAAATATAAAAAACTTATAATACCATAATATTTAATTATTTACTGTTTTATTAACATAAACAAGATCTAGTAGATCTAATAATGACTATAATTTGAAGAAGGAATGAACATAAATAATAAGATACATGAAATATATAAGATGCATGCAAAAACTATAATGGGATATAAAAATATCTGTAAGTTTGATTGTGACAGTCATTTGTATTGCTAATAATACTACAGTTTATTTCTAACATTTATAATTGAATGTAATCTTATCAGTTATAAGATTAGTGAAACCAAAGACTCTTTTCTTGTCATCCAAATTCAGCAACTCTCTGTACTTTCTCCACAGGCCTTCGATTAAAAATGACTGCTTTAGTAAAGAAAAGGGGGGAAAAAAACACTTCTTTTTATTTAAAAGAGTAAGACAATTGTAAGAATTGGAGGTACTCCTTATTCTCTGAAGTATATTTTCCCACACCTAGAGTCACCTAAAGAAATTCACATGCATAAATCATCAGAAAAGAGCCAGACCCTGTCTTTCTCTCTGCAAAGTTTGGTGAGACGATCATGACATCTCCTGTCCTACCCCAGCCACAGTTTTTCCTGGGGCCTGAAAAGAGCTCTGGTGACCTGATGGTCAAATCTACAGGCTGGAGAGAGGAGGGCCAGGTAAACCTGCCAGGGGACAGAATCAGGACACAAAGCAGTCACAGCAGGCTGGAAAGTCAGGGAGAAGTTTACGGCTTGAAATATAATAAGGGATGCAATAAAATGAGGTCACATTCTCAGAATGGGGGAAAGGAGATGACACACCAAAGGAGATTATACCCATTACTCAGGGTGATTAATCCTCGTGACGGCTGCACAAAGACAATAGGTTCCCAAAACCTGCCCCCATACCGAGCAAGAGAAATGGCTTATTACTGCAAACTGCCTCCTACTTAGTCAAAGGAGAGTAACCATAAAAGTGAAGGGATACAAAAACACGTTACATATTCTCTGGCAGAAAAAACAAGAGAGAAAAAGAGAAGGTAGAGGGGCGCCTGCGTGGCTTAGTCAGTTAAGCATCTGCCTTCGGCTCAGGTCATGATCCCAGGGTCCTGAGATGGAGTCCCACATCAGGCTCCCTGCTCAGCAGGGAGCCTGCTTCTCCCTCTGCCTGCCACTCCTCCTGCTTGTGTTCCCTCTCTCTCTGTCAAATACATAAATAAAATCTTTATGGGGCACCTGGGTGGCTCAGTCGTTGGACGTCTGTCTTCGGTTCAGGTTATGATCCCAGGGTCCTGGGATCAAGCCCCACATCGGGCTCCCTGCTCGGTGGGAAGCCTGCTTCTCCTTCTCCCACTCCCCTCTGCCTGTGTTCCCCCTCTTGCTGTGTCTCTCTGTGTCAAATAAATAAAATCTTTTAAAAAAATAAAATAAATAAATAAAATCTTTAAAAAGAAGAGAGAGAGAAGGTAGAGGTGGCAGATTGGACACATGTGTCTACCAAAACCACACTAAAAAGAGAATTTTGAAAGGTTTTTTAAAAATAGAATCCAACAAGTTCAGGGAGAATAAGAGAGGAGAAAATAGCAATAAAATTCCAAAAGCTGGAAATCAGAGAGATGAGTGGTAATAAATTACAAAACCAAGAAAACTGAATATTAAGGTACCAGTAAAAAAGTCAGAGAATCAACCCAACTAATACTAGAAACTTTCCCGAAGTTTCGGGAATTGGCAGCACTGGGTCCTTCGGGGAGTGAGAATGAAGAAAATTACTGAAATAAGATTAAAGTCCATTTAAGAAGCAGAGAGGTTTTATTCTATAAAAGAAACATTATCTCCCCTGTGATCAATCAGTTCTTCCCTGCTGATTTCCCTCAACACCCACCCCCCCCCACCCCCAGTATAGTCAAAACCATCTGAAAATAGAATGGTTGGCCCTGGAAGACAGCAGGATTCCTGCCCCACACAATGTTCAAGTTTAAACTGGAACTTTGCTTCAGGATTATTTTTCGCCTACTTTGTTGTATGATATGGAGTTCCAGGTTAGGAAAACACCATTAACCACAGAAGTCCCTTCAACTCTGAAACTGTATCATTATTCAACACAACTGACAATCACTTTCTTCTCCAGATCTCTGCCCTGGGTCCTTCCCAACAGAATTTAAACATTTTCAGGTCTCTACCATCTTCAAAAGAAAAACCATCCCAAACTTTCTTGACTCTGTATCTTCCCTCCACCACCCTCACTTTGGCCTCCCCTTTAAAACAAGACTTCCGGAGCACCTGGGTGGCTCAGTCGTTAAGCGTCTGCCTTCGGCTCAGGTCATGATCCCAGGGTCCTGGGATCGAGCTCCGCATCGGGCTCCCTGCTCTGCGGGAAGCCTGCTTTTCCCTCTCCCACTCCCCCTGCTTGTGTTCCCTCTCTGGCTGTGTGTCTCTCTCTCTGTCAAATAAATAAAATCTTTTTTAAAAATTTAAAATAAAATAAAATAAAATAAAACGAGACTTCTCTGAAGGATCACTTCTCTCCCGGCCTCCATTTTCCCTACTCTCATATCTTAACAGCCTCTGTTCTGTTTCCACCCTCATCCGTGCCATGAATATTTCACACTAAATTCACCATTATCTCCATATTGCTAAGCCCGGGGCTGGGGGGGGGGGGGGGGGGGGCTTTGTTTTTAATTCAGATAAAATTCACAATTTAGCCTTTTTAAAGTGTACAATTCAGTGACTTCCTTTAGTATATTCACAATGCTGTGGCTTTTGGTATATTCATAATTCATATCACCACTAATTCCAAAACAGTTGTGTTCCCCGAAAAAAAAACTCTGTGCCCATTTACAGTAACTGCTCACTCTTCCTCTCCATCCCTGGCAAGCAATAATCTACTTTCTGTCTCTCTGGATCTGCTTCTTCTAAGCCCAGGGAACATTTCCCAAGCATCATTTTACTGAGCTTGTCGGCAACAAGTATCTTGTTCCTTTGAATACTCTATTCACTGGCTTCCTGGATTTTTCTTGTACTTCTCCAAACACAGCTCCTGCCCAATCTCCTTGGCAAAGCCATCCTTCACCTCCCAATCCTTAAAAGTTAGAGCTTCTTAACATTCAATCCCAGACTCAGATTCCTGTCACTTTGTGCTCTCTCCCTAACCCAGGACTAAAGGGAGTGCATCAGCAGCACCTGATGGTTCCTTAAACACAGAATACTGGGCCCCACCCAAGGTCCTGATCCAATAGGTCTGGGGCAGGGCCTGAGAATCTGCATTTCTAACAGGTTTCCAGGGGATATCGATGCTGCT